CGCACGTGCGCCTCCCGCCGCGCGGCGGAGTCCGAGGACTAGACCCCTCCCCACCGTAGCCCCCGGAAGGCCGGAGGGAGGGCTCCCCCGGGGGGTCCGGGCGGCCGGGGCTCCGAGCCGAACCCGCACCTCCGCCCCGCCCTAGAGGCGGTGTCCTGCCCCAGCCCAGCCCCACGGGTGCCTGCGGGCGGCGCGTGGGTGGGGTAGCTTCCAAATCCCTAAGCCGGGGTGGGGACCGTAATAAGGAAAACTCGGGGACACCGAGGATTTCCAAAGTACGCGAGACCCGTAGGTTGGCCAATCTTCTGTCAGACCTCGGCAACAGGCGTTGAGGGTGATCACCACCGTAAATTGTTACTGAGGTACCGCCCCCAAATTCACTAACCTTTCCTTTAAAGGCCCATCGCGGTCCCTAATCTGTTCATTTACCCAACTTGCTCGTTTTTGTTTTTTTTTATTTCCGGCTATCTACGTACGTTAGACCAGCAGGCCTACCTAGTACATTTGTTTCAGCAATTAGTATATTAAAAATGAATAGCTTTAACACGAGAATCCTTATTTGAGCAAAATTGTGGATTGTAGGCCCATGTGCACATTTTCATTACAGTAGGTTTTCTTAGTAGTTGGGGGGGGGGGGAGTCTTTTAAACAGAAAATGAAGAAAAAATGCAACTTAGACATTTGGAATTTATTGCTATTCATAAACTCACACAATTACATTCTATGTACATTTTGTCATGATGTATAAGCAACTTTGGTAATTTTCTTTGAGGTATATTATGAAGTACAGGTTTTAAAGAAACCACAAAAATACTCAGCTTGTCACTGATCATTTTTGTGAATTTCACAAAGGACAAGGATTCAAGTTTATAATGCAGTCACCTGCTCACAGCCAGACACTTATAAATTCTTCATCAAAAAACCGTGAGGTACACTGGTACCCCAAGGCAGGCTTATGAGATTCACTCAGAAAGAAGCACTTTCCCTCTAACAGAGTCAATACTTTCATTCTCTGCAGGCATCTCAAAAATAACTGTAGTAATCCCAGGTGACTTTGGTGACCCAGGGAATACAGGCAACATTTAAAGGCAGTGGTTGTTCCAAGAATATGTATGAATTTTTCTTGTTCCAGAAGCATGTACGGAGATAATATGCCTAAAAACATTTTATGAAAAAGCCAAGTCTTCAGTCTGACAACTTTAATCAGTACATTTGTAGTGAGACATAATGCTCCCAAAAGTTTTTATTTAAAGACCAAAGTCTGTGTCTGGCTTTTTTAACCTTAAATATTAAAACATGCCATAACTGGCTACTGAAAAAACTACCTCTAAATTATCTTCAACCAGACAGCTCATTCCTACCACGAAAGGCTGCTAAAGCTAAAGCTAAACTTAGTTCAAGTATTCATTTGACCTGTCACTAACTGCGGATCTTCATATAATCTGGCTTTGAAAACTCAGGATGTGTTTTTATTCCTTTTGAATGTTAATATCCTGCATGTTTCCTTCATGAACATTGACTTTTCTATCATATGATGCATGAAAAAAGAAAGACGTCTGATGAAAAAACAAAAACTACTTTCATAAAGATATAACATGGCTGAAGAGCCTTTCAGATAACAATCAAAAGTTTTGACCACTGAATTTACCTGCAAAATATATAATATTTACAGTACACAAACCTAGTAGTTTTATGTGCCTAGAGACTAATTCTTCAATATTAGTAATGTTTAAGAGGTTTCTTCTTGTATTGTCTTCTTCAGCCTTTTCCAGCTACCTCAACCATAAAGGAGCCCAAAGGCCTCAGACTATTCTACACTAACAAGCAAAGCATCAAACTCCAGCCTCACTAAAAATAGGAGGCCATGCCACTCAGTTCAGAATGTCCCATTTTCTTTTTGTATCACAGAAATTTAAATCCACAGTATATTTCATGGTTCACTGAAGAAATTCACAGCTTATAATTATGTATAAGTAAAAGGATGGATTTTTAAGGCCTTTGGAGACTATCAAGTAAATGCTATTTTAAAAGAATGCTCATATCAGAAGTACCAGTGGTGAGAGTACAGAAATGTTCCTGTGACGATTAAGATCCTTCATCCTTTAGTTTCCTTCAAAAACTTCAGTTCTTAAATTCACTAGCTTTCAACAGCCGTGCCCGTCTTGTTTCTATTTAGTAGATCAAAAGTTCTCTGAAGCATAATGAGTGAGCTCTTCAACTGCAAAGAAAATTAATTTTCAACATCAGATTGTTTAAACTTTTCTGTTTCCTTTTATACCAAGAGTTTCTAATTACAATTAATGTTAATTGTGTTTATACTGATGCCCAAATAAAAAACAGCATATATAAAAGCCCTGAATCCTTGGGGCATCTCTCAGTGTGGCTGCTACAGAGATCCTCCCATCTGCTGTATCACACTCCTACAATGTATTACCTCTGGGGGGGGGGGGTTCCATTTATCAAATTATCCAAAGTGAAAGTTGTTTTCTTAAATGATTTCTGAGGTTGTATTGGTTACCTCCCTGTCCCCTGGACAACTCAAGTTCCACTACCAGGGCTTTGTTTGCTGTCACGCTTATGTTCCTCTTCATCCCCAAAGTGTCTGTGTAGTTTTTTCTAGTTATTCTGCCCCTCAACATCCAAAGCACTACTACTTACTTTGACATTTCATTTTGTACTCTTATATTGCCTTTAATAATGCACATGGACATCTGATTTCTCTAGGGAAATTACAAGCAACTTGAAAACAAAAATTGTATCTTAGTCTTGTTTGTACTCATTCATTCAACAAATACTTAAGGCTTGCCTATTACCTGCTAGGCACAGTCCTGAGCTTGGGGTTTGCAATGGTGAGCCAGCTAGGTACCTTGCCCTCTTCATGGAGCTTACAGACTAGTAAGGGTTACAGAACTAAAATGAAAATCATATACATAAATATGCACACAGCGTAGGAAGTTTCTGAGCAACAGGGGAATGACAGAACCATTTTCTGAAACAAGGTCAACTAGAGGAAAGTTGGCCGGTGCAAAGCAAACACTGTTTTGGATACAATCAGTTTGGGACACCTGTTAGCACCAAGGCAAAGAGGCCAAGTATGCAAGTGACTGGATGAGTCTGGAGCACAGAGAAGAGATCAGGATGAGTGAGAGGTGTGGATTTAGGAGTCACTGGTATGTTTTGTGTGCCAAGTTAGGGGAATAGATATACTCCCCCTGGAAGAGAACATAAAAAAGGGAAGACACTAAGCCTGAAGCGCTGAGCCAGGAACAAGCCAGAAGAAAAGTGAATTATGCAGAGTGAAAGGAATCAGTAACAGAAGAAAATATATGATGCCATTTATATGAAATCTCTAGAAGAAGACAAACCACAGAAATAAAAAATAGGTTAGTGACTGCCAGGAGCAGAGAAAGTAAGGGAGTGGGAGAGACTGCTAGCAGGTACCGGCATCCTTCACTTGGTGATGAAAATTCTCTGGAATAGTGGTGATGGTGAATATCCTAAAAATTCTTTAAGAGGGTGAATTTTATAGTACATGACTGTCGATAATGCTAGTTTTGGGGGGGTTTTTTCATAGTTTAAAAGAAGGCAAGATACATTTCAAAGGAGGGGTCAGCTTTATCAAATGCTGACAATGAAAGATGAAAACTAAAAAAAGGTACATTAGTTTTAAAAGCCAGAGGGCACCGGAGACCTCTGCTTAAGCAACATCAGTGGAAAATGGGAAGTGGCTGGGGGTGGGGGTGGGGGGGAGCTGGGTAGACAGGGATGGGTTTGAGTAAGTGGATTAAATATATGCATCCCATTTCCTCCCTCCTGAAACCTCATCAAAGACAGTAAAGAGATCTCTTAAAGGCCTAAATCCACAAGGGAAGTAAACAGAAAAGGCTACAATAGCAACTCACTTTGGAAACTAGCTAGCAGATAGATGGTTTGAAGGCCTGAAAAAGCTGAATCATAAGCAAAAACAGCAGAGAAAGCTGAGAACCAACCAAATGGATCCTGAAAAATTCTTAAAAGCCTCCAGGAATGGTGGCCAGTAGGAAGTGGGAAGAAAGAGGAAGCTGTTTCTGAAGCAACAGCCTAGCCAAGTTTACAAGAGGTCAGGCTAGGACCCCATGTTGAGATCTTCACATCTGCAGAAACAGATGGTCATGCACTACAGATGGCTAAAGAAATCCTCTAACCCTCAGGATGGAAATCAAAGTTGGTGGGAAAGGATTTTGATGGAAAGTGAGTATGAAAGAAGAAAGCAAACAAAAAATTTAACTACCAGTGACATGATCAGAGATTAAAGGTATTATAGCCACTGATAGATAGGGGTGGAGAGGCGGCGCAATGGTCTAGGGTAAAGGACAGTGGGGGTCGTGATGGTAGGCATGGCGTGGTGATATATACCCAAGGAGATGTGGATCTGTTTCCCTAAATCATATGCAGTGCTATAAACCAATGTTACTGCAATAAAAATAAATAGAAAATATTATAATCATTTAAAAAGAACACAATGTCTTTTATAAAAGAAAAATGTAGAGAAATAACATCTCTTTGCAATGAAATGTCTTAGCAAAAACTGAAGAACCAAATGGAAGAATTTGAAGATTAAGTTGAGGAAATCCCTGAGGAAGCAAAGAGATGGAAATTGGAAACAGAAGGTGAGATTAGACAGCCTGTCCAGTAGAAGGTGGGCATCTGAATTATAAATGTAGAAAGTCAGAAGAGAAAATGTGGAGGAGAAGAAATCACAAACTGTGTTTAAGTCATTAAGAAAGAGGACCATCACTAGGGGACCAGAATTTCCAGATTGAAGGATAAGGAATGAGAACAGCGATAGAATTCTTAACAATAAATCAGAAGCAAAAAAACTCAGAGCCAATAGAGCAGTACCTTCAATAATCTGAAGAAACATTATTTCCAAGCTAGAATTCTGTCTCCAGAGACATTTATTAATCAAGGGGAAGGATAGAATTTAAAAATTTCAGACAGGCAAATTCTTAAAATATTTACCTCCACAAGATTACTCAGGAAGTCACCAGAGAATATTCAATGTTCAAATGAGGGCAGAGTAAACCAAGAAACAAAAACACGCACTATAGAAAGCAGGATGCAGGCCTCAGGACACCCCAGAATAAGGCCAGGCACCTGCAGAGGGGGCCACAGGATCTGCACTGGGAGCCAGAGGCTCCAGTGATAGACTTTCTGGGGGGACGAAAGTTATGACAGAGTTATAACTTGACATTCAGATTACCAGGAGATGAACTATTTACCAATACCTACATCCTAATCAACTGTAATAAGACAATTGGGAGAAGAACAAAGGCACAGGAGAAAAAAAAGTCATCATAGGTCCTTCTATGGCTTAGCTCATAGTAGCAAAGAAACTTGTTTTTCTCAAAACAAGATAGCTTGGATACCGACCCAAGCTATCGTCTAACTTACTTGGTAGGAGGGGGAAATGAGCAATTATGGGAGAGGTGAAAGAAAAGAACAGAAAAGTCCTTGTCTGCTACAAGAGTCAAAAGATATTGTCACAAAATGAAAAATCAAGGTTTCAATACATGCTATTTTTATAAATATGGAGGTAAGCACCAAAAGAATAAAACATTGTTCTCTTTGGAATTAAGGAGAATTAATTCGGATTTAATTTCTTTGAAAATTTTTTATTCCCAGCAGATGGTGCTGGGGTTGTTGCTTCTGGGAACAAACTTTGTAGAACAAGTTAACTCTAAATTATGTGAAGCAGTGATATGGATGAAAATAAAAACTTTCAAAAGTGAATGGGTCATGAAAGGTACAAGTGACAGCCAGAACAGGAAATTCTGAAAGCCTGACTGCAAAAGGGAGACACAGGGGAGCAGATATAGAAGGGCATGGATGAAGTGGGCTTTTAATGTCAGCGATAACGGGGGCCAAGTGCTGATAGTAGAGATCTGGTTAGTTGATCGAGAAGATTGAGAATGGGAAAGCCAGCAGGATAAGGATATAGTCTCAGGCTAACAAATACTGGGATTTACCTCTCATCCACAGAGGACAATAAAGTTTGTAGATTTGATTTTAAAAGAGCAGGGAGAGACTGTTTCTGAGTCAAGGTAGTCAGTTGAGAGTGAAGGGGAGCTGGCAAGAGTGGATGGGGAGGGAAGTGTCTCCCGTGAGTTGGGAGAAGAAAGCTACTAAGGACTGTAGACACTCGCATGAGAAGAGTGAAATTATAACCTCCAGTGCCCTGCATGGTATCTGAAAAAGTGCTCATTAGTAGAATCTTCTAAAAAATCTATGCACAGAAGAAGAGGATGCCAGAAAATACTAACAGTGATGATATCTGTATGCTAGAATTACAGGTTTCCTGATCTTATGATTCTGTTTTACAATTTGAAAAGCATGTATTATAGTGGGAATATTAACCTTTATTATTCAAAGGCGATCCTAAGTTTCAGTTCATGGAACTGAATAGCATATATTGAGGATAGTATGTTCCAGAGACAATGCTTATAGCAAAATACCAAAAATAACCTATGTTAATTCTTCAATGAAGAACTGCTAAAATAAGTGTGGCACATTTACACAGTGAATTTTGTGTATCTGTCAAAAGAAGAGTAAGTGCTTCTCTGAGAAGGAAGTACCCCTAAGGTCTATAGTCAACAGATAAAATAATGAACAGAAATGCAGGATTTGCATTTCTTCATTAAAAGAGTTGATATTAAGCATAAATTTCATCTAGGAGGATCAACAAAAAAGAATGAGGTAGGTATATACAGGCTCACAGGGAAACATCTTCCAAATGTACTACTCATTGAAAAAGGAGGGTATCCCATGTATCCACGCTTTATTCTCATTTTGTAGACAAAACACACAAAAAGGCACACTGTGCATAATACAGGCGCTAGTAACGGTGAGCTGCCTCTAGGAAAGGGTTTCTTCAAACAGTCCATAACAGTTGTCCTCCCACAAACGGAGGGGCAGCTGATTCCTACCCATAAGACAGTGCTAAGCCCTGTGGCCCACATTCACCCACCTGCTCCAGCATCACAATGGAGTCTCGGAGCACTCCTTTTAAACGGTGCGCCCGATCATTGTTGCTTTCAATATTTTCTGCTCTTGACACTGTATCAGAGGCTAAACTGAGGGAAAAAAAAAAATCCGAATCAGGGGCTAAATTCTAATCTTTCATGTCTCCAGTTCATCAAAGCCCCATATATTTGCACAGGAAACAAACAAAAAAAAAAAAAGAAAAAGAATAATTGATGATTATAAAATAGTTAGCAAACCAAAATCTCTAAAACTGGAATGAAATTTTCTGCAAATAAGAATTATTGAAGTAATATGGTAAAAGAGGTTAGGGGGTGAAAAAGGACTTACTTTAAAGACTTTTCTTCTTGGAGGTGGAGACGATAAAAGGACTGAGCAGCATATTCCATCTTTGACAGCTTCAGAAACAGTGTCACATTCAACAAAACTAGCAACAGCAAACTGGGCAGAGGAAATCATAGCTGGTTAATCCACTCTTATCCACACCTGAAGTACCCTAATACAGAATACACATGCACAAGTTTGCAGTATGTGCATTCCTGAAACCAGTGTCCACTTATTATTATTTAAATCATTTATTTCTATTTTGTTGTACAAAAGGGACACTTTAAGTATTAAGTGGACATTATGAAATTAACTAGAGTAACATTAAAATCCTCAGATAAAGCAGGTTGGAGTTATTCCTGAGAGCTTACCTCTCAGTTAGGAATCCCAGTCATTGCTGATGTGCGACCACCAACTTAGAAATCTCTGAGGTAAGCTTTCAAGATCTATTTTTGGGTGCTTTGGGCATAAGCCATTATGTACCCACAATGCTCCATTTCAAAAAAGGAAATGAAGATCAATATGGATAGATCTAGATAGATCACGATGTACCTCTTACTCCCAGTGGGGGAAATATACCTATTCAGCAAAGATTTCTTCTAGTTCACCTTAGACAAAGAAAGTATCAAATCCCAAATATATATTAATGATGACATGAATAAAATGTTATATCTTAGAGAAACTTATTACTCCTTTGTTTTTTATAGCAGTCTGCCAGTGGATGTATATATCTTATCACACATGTTTGCAAATATATAGATAGCATCTTACCTCTTTTCTCCTTTAAAATATGCAATCACCCTTAAAAATATGTAATATTCACCTTTACTAGCCAGAAGAGGATTTAAAAAAAAATTAGCTAAGGTAGTAGTAGAAAATCAAATCTAAGAAATTATTGTAGCAAGGAAATGGTGTGGAGATCAATATTTCAACATTTGAGTATAAATTTTATGCAAAGTTAGGCAAAGATTACTGATAATATTTTTGGCTCAAAAATGTCACTGTAAAAACCAGTTAAGCAGACATTGAAAATCTTTCATATAAACTCAAAGGTAGAACAAACATTTTCCATGATCAGAAATTTATAATTAGAAAAAATAAAAAATATTCACTCTGAGTGTATTGCCATTCAGAACCAGTTAAATCTTGTGTACTACTTCAAGGCCCAAATAGAGACATGAAGATATAAAGTCTAAATGTGACTGGCTGGGTAGATTCTTAGAGAATATTCTGAGAGTCAGATGAATTACACCAGCACTTCTCACCTTGTGATTCTCACGTCCCTTGCACCAGAAGAGTCTTCGGTATGTGTTTAAAATACTAACCCCAAACCCCTACTCAAGACCTACTGACTCAATCTCTGGATTATTCAAAAAAACCCCAGCATTTTAGCAAATGACTTATGAACTGTGAAGGTTAAGAACCACTGGTCTACTTAACTGGTATAAAACAGTATTTTGAGATTTTACTAACGAGTATGCATTCTAACTTTAAATGTATAGAACTTCCCATAAAAACTTGTGTTAGAAATTAATCAGAGTAACTTTAAAAATAAAAACATTTATTGAACATGTACTTGATGTTCCTTCAAAAATAATAATTGTGAAAATCATATATCATAAAGTACCAGACAAGCACATAAAATTACTGTTTGTGTAGGCTAAAATTGTTCAAATAGTGGCATTGTCTGTGCAGTAATATACAAATGTACTAAATCATCTTGGAAAGTTAAAAGAGAAATGAAGACCCAAATAAAATAAAAATCCAAAACAAACACTTACAAAATACTCATCACCACCACAAGAGCGAGGCCGTAGCTTCCCATTTCCTTTTTCTTTCCTGCAGATCACACACAAAAAAGGAGGCTGCTTTAGGATCAGGATTGTAATTATAATTGGTAAAAATTTAATTTCATTCGAAAATCACTGAAGAACAAATTCTTGAAATTATTTGTGTGACAAAGTGAGTTATCTTGAATTCTCTACACCTCATTTTTAGTTTTTGATATTCTGAGTAATATGAGTGATTATCTACAATGAAAAATGTCAGTCCTGCAAATTTGGCCTAGAGTACAAATTAATTAAATATTCATTTCAATACATCATGTATGTTCTCTACTAAAGTTCCACCTCTGCTGACAATATTTGAACAGGATACAGTGCTTTCCTCCTAAAAAAAAAAAAGTTTTGAATGATCCTTAGCTGTTTTCTGTCATCCAACATTTTAAATGCCAAAATTAAAGGGCCATGAAACTTAAACAGTAGATAAGCATATTCATACTGATATAAACTTTAGAAGAGGACTTGCTAATGTAGAAGGATGAGAAGGTATGACAGCTTTACAGTTCTGAGAAGAGGGAATAACAGTTAAGAGAGGCAAGATGTCCTCAAAATTGAGAGTCAGAATAATAAACATCAAATTTCATTTCTGACAGTTATAAGGATTAAAACCATAAAATTACTGTAGTACATTCTGGTTTAGATGAGTGTCTCTAAATGGTAGCAGGAATGGAATGAGCAACGAGTCCTCGGGCAGGGACAGTAGTGGGCTAGTGGGCTGGGGACCTGGGGGCACAGAGGCAATGGAGCCAGCTGACAACAGTGGCTAAGCAGGGATTTGGGTACGGGTTGTCAGTTCTGCTTTTATAGAAAATATATTCCATTTGAGGAATATTACTCAGCAATCAAAAAGATAAACACATGCCTTTTATAGCAACATGGATGGAGCTGGAAGAGATCATGCTTAGTGACAAAAGCCAGAAAGAAAAAGAAAAATACCACATGGTTTCACTTGTAGCAGAAGTATAAAGGACCAGGGGGGGAAATAATAATAATGATGAACAGATATATACCAGGGACATTTTACAGAGATGGAATGGGGAATGGGGTTAAAAAATGGGGGGTGGGGGAAGTGCACTGTATTATGATGATGGCACATGGTTGATTTGGTGATGGAAGCTCAATGGGATTACAACTGAGATGGAAAAAGGCTCAAAATCATGTAAAAATAAACTATTATTAAAATATAACACAATAAAAATATATTCCGTTTGAAAATACCATTTGGGCCTAGTAAACTACTTCTGTTGACCATATACTTGCCATTTTCCAATTGCTCCTTTATATTTAAATACTAGTTATCTTTAAGGAATTTAGAGTATGGAAACATCAGGAAAGTGACAAGGGAGACCACCTAAGAACTTACATTAACAAGAAGCATATTCTCCTTCCCACTAGTAACTGCTGATAAAATCTTCCACCTCCTCTTACCAGCTAACAGTTACCTGTCATATCCCCTTTGGCTTCTAAGCCCACATCTCCAGAAGAACGCAGAGAAGAAAGTTTAGGGTTTGTTTCTGCTGTTCGGGTGAATGTTCGCCTTCTCCTCCGTAGGCCACTAAGTTTTCCAGGGTCTTCAATGGACTGACTTAACATAGATTCTTCCACTAGCAAATCTGATTCTAAGAAGAATAAAACAAATCTTGCATAGTACAGAAACTTTCTTAACTATAAGAATGAGAGGGGTTGGTTATTTTGCTTTCTCTTTGGGTTTTGAAGCTTTGGTAACTTTCTTTAACTATTACTCAGGTTCATATGGCAAATTTTACTCTTAATGAAAAGTTTTGGAGAGTACAGAGATTCCATAATGAGGTTTCATTATTCTAGGAAGAATGGACTATATTAATAAGTAATGGGATCATCACAGCAAATTCGCCATGTGCTCTATTAAAGATTAATGAAAAGATTTCAGTTATGAAAACAACAGGCTACCCATTTACTCTGAATCATTAGAAAGATTTCCAAGATAGATTATGGTACTTGATTGTAAATCTTAAAGTAATAATAGCATATAACAAGTCTAATTTATAATGAGGATTTGCCAAAAAAAAAAAAAAAGGGAAGTACTACTAAAACTTGCGTAGAACCTAAAATCTGTATTTTGTCATTTATTTCATTTTTTTTCTTTAACCAGATTTTTTAATTAAAAACCCATTATCCAGGTCCTCCCTCATGATATAGAGGGCCAAGTCTCAGTTCAATCCCCAGCCAGGGAGCTGACCCACATATGGTGCAGAAGACCTCTCCTTTCTCACCCACTGCTTCCTCAGCAGTGTATTTCAGTAGATCTGCCTCTTCTGCTCCCCGCTCTGTCTCTGGTGAATCCTCCCACCCTCGCACCTCTGGCCTACACGCCAATTCTTTGTATGCGTAAATTTAAAAAAATAATAAATCTTTAAAAAAAAAAAAAAAGGAAAGGAAGAGGAAGGAAGGAGGGGAGAGGGGCGGGGAGGGAGGCAACCCATTATCCAATGGCCAAACTAATTTTTGAGTTTTCATTTTCTCTGCTCTTGATTGGGAATTTACTAATTAAAAAGCAAAGAAAATAATCAACAGCTTAATAACAAAGTCTCAAATTACCCTGAGCTGGCTGACCTCCAGCTTGTCTTTATTTAAAATCAATTGTGTTTACATATATATTTTTCCTCACATATATTTTAAGAACTATCCAAACAAGACAACAGCATCATTTCCCCATGTTTACCAGCCTCTTCCACCAAATCCATGTATGTACATGACACCATTGCTAAGTGGGCCTGCATAAACCCAGGAAAGGTACACTGGTAAGGGAGGAATGGGCCCATTTTTTGAACAAGAGTAATAGTTATGATAATGTTACGATCGTGTCCTCTGCAGTCAGCCACCTTGGCTCCTTGCGGGAGAAGGGAGCATGACATCCCCTAACTGGGTGATCTCAGACAAGTCATTTAACCCCTCTTATTTGTCCTTCAGTAAAATAGCAAAAAACAATACTATTAACCTCACAAGGTTGAAATGAGTGGACTTACGTAAAATACCTAGAACAAGGTAAGAGCTGTAGTAAGCATTACTGGGTAAGTGTTACCCCAATGAAAATGAAACGTCTCTAAATGGCAACTCAAGCAGTGGAGCCACGTCAGTGGGAGTCATTTCAGCAACATCTACCAGTTCCTACTGTGACTCAAGCAAAACATCAATCCATTTTACAACTGGTGTGATCTTTACAAAAAGAAAGAAGAAATTTACGAACCAAGCTGTTTGAAGTAGTCCTCCAATGAACTCCAGGAATTCTTCTCAATCAAAGATTTGATAACGGACCATGGTTGTTTTTTGTATTTCAAATCTGTGGAAACTCTAATTGGATAAGGAGGAGAGATGAATATTTAATCTTTAAAGGACAGAATTTAGTCATTATCATTGCAATTAAATATAAAATTGCACTCAGTGGAAAGCCAAAAAGAATTCAAACATGTTAAGAGTATAAAAGAACATGTGTCAACTGACAGAGACTTCATTTTAAAAAAGTCACTATGTGGGCCCTCCCTGGTGGCGCAGCGGGTTACAGCACTGCACTAAGAAGCTTAAGCCACTTCATCATGAGTTCAATCCCCGCCTGCCCCATAGGTGACCACATGGCGTGGCAGACCTCTCCTGACCTGTCCGCTGCTCCCCTCAGCAGTGTACTTCCTCGATCTGCCTGTTCTGCTCCCCACTCTGTCTCTGGTGAATCCTCTCACCTACCGCATCTCTGGCTTGTACCCCAGTTCTGTATGAGTAAATAAATAAATCTTAAAAAAAAAAATCACTATGTGCTTCTGATATTTTCATCAGAATTGCCTTCTAAGAACTTGTTATTTTATTTCTTTCTTTTGGCTAGCCCTGAATTGTCTTAGACAAGAAAGTTTCAAAATCAATTCTAAATTGCCTGTCTTGTATAAAAAATCTCTAGCAAGCAAGAAGTAGTTGGAAGTAGCCACAGCCTATGTCTCACGTACGGCGGGCCAGCACTCTTTTTCATGCACCAGTGAGTGCCATGTATTCTCCAGGCTCTCCCAACCCCTTCTATCATTAAACATGGTTACGTGGCCAGTCCTGGCTATTGCACTGTGAGCACAATTCTCCATCTTCCTGCAGCAGCAACAACACAGAGTGAACTGAAACAAGACAGATTCTAGATGGTGCAGTTCCAAGATGTCACAGCCTTCACCAAAGTGTTGAGCAAAGATTTCAAGATGAATATGTTACCAGAACATATGCAAGCCTATCCTGACTAAAGCAGCTCACCTCAGCCGGCATTTCTGTTTTGAAGCTCGGGTGATGTAGTATCTGTTCAGGGTATAGAAGTAATCGTGATAGGGGACATCGTGTGTCATTACTTCTGAATCTACCATATAAAACTGTGCTTCCCGACTTTCTTTATATAGTATCTGCCAAAATAAGGGGGAAAATACACATAAATGTTTAATTTTTCAAATTCCTTGCCAATTTCATGCATGCACTAGAATTCCTTCTGACGAAGTAAAAAAGCCATGAGAAACCTGTACACAGAGTCAGAGGACTCCGTGTTGGCAGAGCTGGCTAAAAGCTGAGAAGGGACCGGCAGAAACAGAGTTGCTGCCACTTCGTCAGCTTCATACCTTTTAGGTACATACTAGAGAAAGGAACCATATAATCTTTTGTGTATATTTTTATTTTATAAAGAGGGTAAGAATTCAGAATTCAATAGAACAAAACCTCCCCCAAATTCACCAAAATTCATCAAAAAAGTGAAGGAAAGGGTAACCAAACCAAACACTGCTTTCCCTAAGTAGGAGCGGGCATGGTTGCTGGCAACACCTTTCTCGTTGTAATCACACCTATTCTGTTTATCTTCTAATGTACAAAAGATGCTCAAGTATCAAGTTGCCAAACTTTTCTTAAAGGTTGAAAATCTAAAATTTTAGTACTTTTTAATAGTGATGAACAAAAACTAAAACAAAAGCATGACTTGTACGGATGTTAGTAGATATTTTCAAACTATTTGCATATAGATGAATCAACACAGATTAGCCAAACACATACTCCACTGTAAGACTGTGCATATGTTAAATATCTTACAATCTCTTCCCCATACATCACAGCAACCATCTAGTCACCTGGCCCTAACCTCTAATAGGAGCCTACAGATCAGCTTCTAGTAGCAATCTGTTAAAAGCCATTTCTTATGAAACACACACAAGAGTAGAAGAGGTATAATGAGCCCTCATAAATTCATCAACCAACTTCAACAACATTAACTCCTGCCCAATCCTGTTTTATCCTCACCTCACCCCCAATTCCTTCCCTTCACTTCTCCCTGGCTTTTAAAGGAAATCTCAGACATAAATATAATTTCATCTATAAACACATCAGTATATCTCTTCATAAATCCTCAGTATGTCTCTTTAAAATACATTTTCCTTAAAACATAGCTACAATATCATTATTACACATAAAAAATTAATTTGTTTCCTTTCAGATCGGCCAGATTTGATTAGCATGATTCTTTAGTCTCTTTTAAACTACAACAGTTTCTCCTCCCCCCACTTTTTTTTCCTTGCCATTTAACTGTTGAAACTCTTTTGTAGGTTGGGGACTATTCTTCTGGGATACAGACAGACTAAACATACCTGCTTTTCACTGACAGAGGTGCATTTTCCAGCCAGTGGATTATTAAGGTGTATGGTGTAGTTCATGTTCCTCAGTTGGTCGCCATCAGATTGTACTTTCCAAGGAGTAGATACTATATCTAATCATGGAAAATGGAGCTTGAATTAGTTCTAGAAATTTGAAGGGTATGGCTTAAAATAGAATCAAAAAGGTAGTTGTAGACTTGTTTTAATTTTTGATGAGCTGTAACTTACTCATAACCATATGCCACAAGTTTAACATGGAGGAAAAGCAAAACTAAATGTTAGGTGACATATTCTCCATCACTTGTCATTATGCAGCAACATGACATTGATCCTAACATGTGGAGAAATCATGTACCTACTCGTAGTTAAATTCATAGAAACATAAAGTAGAAACATAAAGTAGAATGATAATTCTCAGGAGCGGGGGAAGGGGGAAGTGGGGAGTCAATGTTTAACAGGTACAGAGTTTCAGTGTGGGAAGATGAAAGGTTCCGAAGCTGGACAACGATAGTGGCTACATAACAATGCAGATGTTCTTTTATGCCACTGAAATGTACACTTTATAATAGTTTAAATGGCAACTTTTATGTTGTATATATTTGCCACAATAAAAAAATTGGTAAATCAAGGTGATGAATTTTATTTTACTCTTCCTGCAATTTTTTGAATGCATACAGTTTTTAAATACTTTTAAAAAATTACAAATGTTGAATAAAGACTTAAACCAGCTTTGAATTACAAAAGTAGCATCAAACAACTGTAGATAAAAGATTTAGAAGAATATTTAAAAATTCCCTAATGGAAAAAAATTAGAACCAGTAGTATCCACTTTAGTGCAGAAGTTAGATGAAATGCACAATAACTGATTACACAAAAGTTTCTCATGGAATACTTGGTGTTATTTTAAAAGGAATTTTTGGGCCCTCCCTGTTGGCGCAGCGGGTTAAAGCACAGCACTAAGAAACTAAAGCCACTTCAGCATGAGCTCAATCCCCGCCTGCCCCAGAGGTGGCCCACATGGCGCAGCAGACCTCTCCTGACCTGCCCGCTGCTCCCCTCAGCAGTGTACTTCGTCTGTCAGCCTGTTCTACTCCCCACTCTGTCTCTGGTGTGCAATCATAAGCAGATTCTCTCCTTTGGAATCAACCTTCTAATTCCAGGACTAAGTGGTAAAATGCCTATAAGCTTTCACGTTTGGAATTAGCTGTAAGTTTTTGCTTCCCAACGCAATTTATAACATCAAATATTAAGTACTATCATCTATATTGAAACCAAATGTGATATGAGATGCCAATGCAGTTGTAATTCTAAAAACAAGCTTCATTTAGTAACAAAGTGGAGTACACCTTAGTTCCCTGCGGAACTTTTTAACCATAAAAAAGGTAGTACAATACCAACAGGCATTATCTTAGAAAATCATGGTGAGGGCCTCCCTAGTGGCATAGGATTAAGTCTGGGTACCCTCATGCTATCACAGTTGCGGCCTGAGTTCAATCCCTGACCTGGGAGCTGACCCACGTGTAGCACAGCAGCCCTCTCCTTCTTACCCACTGCTCCTCTTCACAGTGCATTTCAATAAATCCACCTGTCCTGCTCCCCGCTCTGTCTCTGGTAAGTCCTATTACCCCTTGCACCTCTGGCTTACAACCCAGTTCTTCTGTGAATAAATAAATATTTAAAGAAAAAAGAAAATTATGGTGCAATTTGAGAAGCTGGGAGAAATAAGGTAGCTAATGCTTCTGAAATATCAGGTTCTCCAGGTACATATGAATTGCAAGAAAATAGTAAATTCAGAACAGATAAAACAGGTTAGATATAAAAAAAGAGGAAGATTTATACCCCTCAAATAGCCCATATTTTCAAAGCTGGAAGACTGGGGAAAAAATCATTTATTTATTTTAAAGATTTATTTATTTGTGCATACAGAACTGGGGTACAGGCCAGAGGCTCAGGGACGGCGAGAGGCTTCACCAGAGACAGAGTGGGGAGCAGAACAGGGAGATCCACGAAGTACACTGCTGAGGGGAGCAGCGGGCAGGCCAGGAGAGGTCTGCCGCGCCATGTGGTCACCTCCGGGGCAGGTGGGAATCGAACTCATGCGGAAGGAGCTTTAGATTCTCAGTGCTGTGCTTTAACCCGCTGCGCCACCAGGGAGGGCCAGGGAAAAAATTATTTTTAAAGCTATGTTTTCCTTAATATAATCACAAGACAATTGCTGCCCATTAGAAATTACTTAATTACTGTACTATGAATAAGAAAAACTATTTTTATACATGAATCCATACCAATGATATGATCCCCAAATACAAAATTATGTTTATAAATAAATCTTTTTAAAAAGTTTCTAATAAAGGAATAACATCTGGTAGTTAATAAAACATCTAGATTTTAAACTATATTTGCATTGACTATAGAGTAACTTTCTCTTTGACTATATCAAATGATTTATGTTGCATAAATCTGCTGCTGCTTTCCAATATTATATAACAATCTAAACCACATGCTCCCAAAGTCTTAAAATGTCTTGAAATATTATGATAAATTCAGTTTCAAACTAACTATAAGTTAATTTGAGGTATTTATTACCAAAGTGGAAATTTTAATGCATAATCAATGAAATCTTTTATGATCTGTGTCTGTCACTAATTCCTAAATAAAGCTTTTTTTGTTATTTTCACTGAGTTATACCATAGACATTACAATCTCAATTATGTTGTTCCATGGATTCACACACACACAGACACACACACACACACACACACAAAACATATGTATGATCACTCATACCAAGAGAGAAATTTACCAGTATCTCAAAAATTCCCTCAGTCTTTATCCACCCAGCTATCCACAACAAAACTACTCTACTATTTTTATGTTCACAAATGTTTTTTCTTGTTTTTCAAGTATATATAAAGAAATCACAGTATATACTCTTATATGTATGTGAGATTTACTCATATTGTTATAAGGCAGCTATCTTGCTTTTTTGTTGCTATATAGTATTCTCCGTATAGACATATACATGTCTATCCATTGTGATACTAATGACTATTTTGGCTGTTTTGAATTTTGAGCTTACTGTAGATAAAGATACTATGAAAACTATAGTCATGTTACTCAGAGTGCACATGTTCCCATTTCTGAAGGATAGATAGCTACTAGTAAATTGTTGAATCACAGAATGTGTATATTTAGCTATAGTAGAGATTGCCAAGCCATTTTGCAAAATGATTGTGACTACTAGCATCTAATTGTCACACAATGAAAGCCCTTAAAACTGGGTTCAACTCAATTGAACTGCTGCATTAATCGACAAAATAGTTTTAATTTTCAAAGAGTCTAATTGTATGTAGGATCTGACTGATTGAACAGTTATACTGTTAGTGTGAATTTTACCAAAACATTTAAACATTAATTTATGTCACCAAAATAAAATTGAAGCCTGTCTAATTTTTTCCCAACAAGAATATATTAATTTATAAATGTTCAACCCTCTAAGAATAAGAAGATTCTTCTAAATTTATCATTACATAAGAATTCATGACCAACCTATTATATTTCTAGAGTTGGCAAATTTCTGCATAAAGCGTGAACTGGTGAAGAGCAACTCAAACATTCTTTCAGCACTGATGTGAAAAACACGGTTGATGTAAAGTTTTCCATGAAGGTCTTTCTCAGGAATATTTTCTGTTGGGGGGGGGAAGAATAGATAAGTAAAAGGGAAGAAACCAAGAAAAGATCATTTCAAGATTTTACTTTTGCACAAATGGTTTGTAAATGTGATCACAATGATTAGCACATCCTGGGACATTATTAAAACTCTAAGTTAGTATTATATACATAAGTACAATGTATAATGATATACCCAATAATATATAGTTAACTAAACTATATGTGATCAATATTTCAGTTGTCAAAACCTAAAAGATAAAGCAATATTTAATTTGAATAATATCACTCAAAATAATACTTCAAAAGTGATGATGAGAACAACACTTGAGATGGCATCTACCACAGCAACGAACAGGTGCTATTAAGTCACAAATGGTCCTCACATCTACTGAATTCACTGACCGCTCTAATATCCTTACCTTGTTAGCCCAAACGACGTTTCAAACCTGACTTAAAGCTGACTCCCCTGAGACCAGTATCATTGGATTCTCATCTCTTCTTAATATCACATATTAAAAGAATGAGGAAATACTTCTGAAAAGTATTCTTCAAAGCTAAATAATACTCAGTGGCATATTACATTTTTCTGGGAATTTGATAATGATGTTGAACACTTCTTGTAGCAAATGAAGCAGTAACTGCTCACCTTTTCTCATATACCCTGGAAAATATTATATAAAATAGCCCAGACTTATGTGATGCTTCCTGTATGTCAGACATTGTGACAAGCACCTGATAAGCAATACTCATCTTACCCTCAAAGCAATCCTATGAGATAAACAGCATTAAAGTACCCCACTATACAGATGAGCAGACTGGTATGATGAGGACTGCCAAGGTTCACTTCTAGTGAGTGGCTGCTTTTGAATTTGAGCTGAGCCCAGCTGCAGAGCACTCAAATTCAACCTCTATTATACTACCAGAAATTTGATTTAAAAAGGAAAAAGAGGACAGCTAGAAATGAAAGTCTGGTAAAGGAAATAGCATATAGCAACCTAACATGAAATTTTAATTATTTCAGGATTGATATTACTTTTTTCAAGGACTATACCCCCACAAATACAAAATGAAAATTGTGACAAAACTTCCCATATTATAAAACTCAGGCTCTAAGAATTACCTGTAGAACATCTGTCAATATTAATTCATAGAAGCAATCTGGTAAAGGTAATAGACTGTGGCCTAAGAATCAGAAAATCTCTCTAGTTCTGCCTTCATTCACCCCCAACAGTGCTTTTTTTTCCTCCCTCAATACATGATTTGTGTCTCTCTCTTTTGTCACAGATACAGATAACATAGGGATATCAGGTAGATATTGATATACCTTCTCCCTGCAACAATACTCAGTGTAGGCAGAAGCTATTCATGACAATTTCAAGTAACAACTCCTTTCATGTAGAAATGAATCGCTGAAACTAGGAATTTGCTAAGGTTTTGTGAGGGAACTTCCTAATTAGGCTTGAGAAATAGCTTTTTCTGATTTAAAAGTAATACGTGTTCATTGTAAAAAGAATTCATTATTCACAAAGAAAGCAAACAAGTAACTCAGGGGGTTCAGGATGTCAGCATGATATATGATGGTGATCATATATCATAATGTTAAAGTGGTATCTGGCAAATTTCTCAGGAGCAAAATTACTATTTTCCCCCTTTCCGTCTTCTGTCTGTTAGAAATAAGTCACTCAGTTCACCCCATAGTCAAAGGGAGGAAACTTATGTTCCTCCTCTTAGAAAGAGGAGTAGTAGCTACATATATTATTTAGAATTCTGTAAGGAAAATCTGTGCTTTCTCCCCCATTTATGTATTTATATAACATCAGTTTGGACTCAGAATAGTTATTTTATCCTTTAGGTTATAATCCAATGTTATATTTTTGTTGCTTTTTTTTTTTTTTTGCTTGGTCATTAGGAATCATTTCAGGTTGATTCCTGTGTCCTTTTAAAGCACTTCTTTCTTGGGGCTTCCCTGGTGGCACAAGGGGTTTAGTTTCAGCACTATTAAGCTATTGCCAGCCACTGTAGCGCCAGCCAGATCCCCAGATAGGGAGGCGACCCACATGATGCAGCAGACCTATCCTGTCTTGTCCACTGCTCTCCGCAGCAGAGTATTTCAGTAAATCTGCCTGCTGTGCTCCCTGCTCTGTCTTTGGTGAATCCTCACACACATGCCACCCACCCTCTCCTCAACCCATCCCAACCCTGTGCCTCTGGCCTATGCCTCCCCAGCTCTTGTATGTGTAAGTAAAATAAATATTTTAAAGAAATAAATAAGGTTATGTCTTTCTTCTGATACTACCAGATGCTCCAGCTTCATTTTCTGTATTACCTATCCCAGCCCCCAAAGCAGCCTGAAATTACAATTTTTCAAATGTAAGCTTCTCATTCACATTGAAGGAAAAATACAATATTTTAATATAATATTTTTATGTTTCTGCTAAATTCCCTTATTAGGTATTTTGTTCCATATTATGATTGATACAAATAGAATTTGTGTTATCATACTGGAAATTAGCATTAATACCTTTTGTATGCAAATTTGTTCAAGGAAGTAAGGACATGAGATAAACTGTTTCCAACTGTGATTATTTATTTATAAAATGCATCATACTTTAAAGTCTCCCCTGCGCATATTAATCTAGCGGATGGCATTTTAAATGAAGAAAGGAACACTTCACCATCCAACAGCAAGTTACTATTTCCAACATATCAGTTTCCTACCAGTAGAAGTGGTAGGAAAAGTGAAAAAGATAAATATGAAAAGAAAATGTACATGGCTGAAACTGAAACTGTATGTTGACAGTATTCTGAGAATACATGAAAAACATACTAAATAGGCATTTAAAAAAAAACATCTGATTTGGAGTTTAATTGAATAACTAAGGACTCAATTTATTGTATCCTCCATTTTCTAAACACTGGTGACCTGCAGTTTTCTTGACTGAGATTGAGGGCTTTTTTTACACCCTGAAAACAAGTTCAATTTGAGAGTGTTGTTCAAAAACCTAAGACTGAAACCTAAGACTTCCCAGAGGGAAGGGGACGAAAGGAGGGAGGTATAGAGGAGTTAAATGATGGAGCTGTGGTGGCAGGTGAGTGAACATGTGCACACATCAGGGTGTGAAGCTGTGCTCCTAGAACATCTATTTCTGTAAACAAATGGTCAATCAGTAAAATCTGATTTTTAAAAACATAAGGTAACTATGTCAGGGTTACTTAGTTTGTCTCATAGTTACTGGCCCGACATACTAGCCTGTTAACTGGTTTTTCTCTGATCTTCCCAGAGGTCTGCTTATTTTTACTTTTATTAACTAATAAGAATCTGATATTCTGACTTCTGTTTCTCCTTTCTTCATAGCTTTGCGCAAATTCGTCTTCTCTGTCAGCTACAGACCACAGATTCCAATTTTGCTACTCTTATATGCCCTTCCCCCAGCTTAATCTTTGACAAACTTCGCTTCCATTCCAGGATAAGGGAACCCTGCCACACTAAGTTCCAACCCCAGCAACATAAAACTAAATTTAACTTCTGTCATCACGATACAGCTCAGGTGTCTCATGCTCTTGGCCAATTTGTCTGTTTCCACTCAGCTCTCCTTCCTGGGACAGATGTTTCACAAGACTATGACACATTAGAGCAGGGTAAAAGTCAATCCTGACAGTTGCAGGAATATTATATCCTCTGAAACAGAGCCACCATTTCCTTGTACTTGTGCATGTGGGTACAAAATGTCACCTCATCTTCATTTGACAGGAAACGCCCTGTTTCTGCTCAGATGCTCTGAACTCCTCTCCAAAGCAGGACAATTAGGTAAATCTATCAGCAACAATCTTTGAGATAAAGTAGATCTGTAATTCTGGGAATTACTTTGTATCAAAGTTTATAATTAGTAGTTAGGACTTTGGATGCTTTGGTGGTGGGTGTGGTGTGGTGACATACATCTGAGGAGGTGTGAATGTAAGTCATATACAGTGTTATAAACAAATGTTACTACAATAATAACAAAAAAAGAGGAATAGTGAAAAAGAAAAATAGTCTACCATCTGCCTAGCTCCCTTTAAATCCTCATGAATTTCAAAATTTCCCAGAATGGTTTACTTCTTTGACCTTTTCCAACATATCTCCAGTTTTCACTGAATTCAAGTGTCTTCATAATTTCACAACTTTCAGAAAATTTAAAAATTTCATTATAATGCCCACTTAATGTATATGATAAACCCAAAGGAGAAGCAAAAGGAATATCTGATTTGTTATCCAATGATAATCTGATAAAAAAAGTCATCCTATACACCTTAAAGAAAATCTCCACAAAAAGAAGGCTGAACATTACATTTAATTCTTACACTGTAACGTCAGTCTTTAAAGAAATACCAGTAAGGGGTAAACTGTGATGGGGCCATATGCAATACAGAAACCACACCACTTTCATTCTTTAGGTCTAGATATGAACTCAGATTATATGAGTTGTTTTTTTTTTAATTTTTTTTTTTTAAGATTTATTTATTTATTCATACAGAACTGGGGTACAGGCCAGAGGCTCAGGGACGGTGAGAGGCTTCACCAGAGACAGAGTGGGGAGCAGAACAGGCAGATCGACAAAGTACACTGCTGAGGGGAGCAGCGGGCGGGTCAGGAGAGGTCTGGCTCGCCATGTGGTCTCCTCCAGGGCAGGCGGCAGGCGGGAATCGAACTCATGCGGAAGTGGCTTCAGATTCTCAGTGCTGTGCTTTAACCCGCTGCGCCACCAGGGAGGGCCAGATTATATGAGTTTTAATATTATCATTTATGTAACTTATACTTAATGTTACCTCACCATTAACGAAGAGTTTTGTAAGGATAATTGTTATAAAAGAGCAGGTGAGAAAAGGGAAAATATCCTTGTTTTGGCGTCACTTACCTATCTGGCCACTGGGTGCCAGAGTAGATCTTCCTAAAATTAGAGGTTCACCCAGGCAACAAATAACTAGATCATGCCTGCTGTATTCCAAAGCTGAAATAAGGTAACAATAGGATCCAGCTACTCTTGGGACTTGGTCCTTTCAAAAATTTCCTCTCAAAAATTTTCTCTCAAATCTCTTTTCAAAAGCATTCAACAACCATCTTCATAATGTACTTTATGATTTTTAAGAACTTTTTGTGACTTTTTACTTATGTTTTAAGTCCATGCATTTAATCTTAATAACGTATACTTCATTGTTCCCAAACCAAGGTCTAACCTGATGTGAATTTGGTTTTCATGGACTTAGTCTTGGTTTTGGATTTTAGATTTAACCTTGATATCAATTAATTTGGATTTGAATTGAATTTAGCTTTGTTTTCATAGATTTGGCTTTTAATTCAGTAAAAAATAATGGGGATTCCCAAATTAGGTCCAAACTGAACAATACCTAGACTAGCAAGTGCAATCATGTTCTATAACTCCAAACCAATATAATGTCCTTACCAGTAAGAAACTGGGCATAATAAAAAATTCATTAGCGGGACCTCCCTGGTGGCACAGCAGGTTAAAACACTGCACTAAGAAGCTTAAGCCACTTCCACATGAGTTTGATCCCCACCTGCCCGGAGAAGATCCACATGGCTTAGCAGACCTCTCCTAACCCTCCCGCTGCTCCCCTCAGCAATGTACTTCGTTGATTTGCCTGTTCTGCTCCCCACTCTGTCCCTGGTGAATCCTCTCACCCTCCGCATCTCTGGCCTGTACCACAGTTCTGTATGAATAAATAAATAAATCTTTTTAAAAAAATTCATTAGCATGGTTCTTGTTTCTGAAATTTGAAAACAGTCACTTAATTTCTGTTGACTTTCTAAAGCCAAATAAATTACTTTTCAATGTTATACAGAATAGTATCATTTGTCTTTCTAGTAAATATCATCTACAGAATATTCCTTCAAAAGTAAATGGGAATTAAAAAAATTGACTGTAGTAAAAACAATCAAATTTAGTAGCAATTACAATGAGCTATCTATGCTGCTGCTTTCAAAAATTAATCCCATTATTCTAAAATATAACCAGTCAAAAACTTCAATCTACATAAATTGAAATTTGAGTTCTCTTCTGAGTAGTATCAATGAGCAAACAATTTTTTAAATCATTTACTTCCTAGAATTTTTGAAACACTTCTTTATTCTCTTTTGGAAGACACACAAAAATTTAATATTCATCTCACAACACACTCCTGGCAAGACCACTTGCTTTCATAATTATACATCAAACAGACTTAGAGTAGCCTTCGCTAAGCTATCCCTTTATAAAAAGGAAGAAAAGAAGCAAGAATGAGACGTATTGGAGGAAATAAAAAAGAAAACTGGAGTGAAAACCTAGTAACTAATCATAGTTCTATATTGTTAATTAGTTGCATGAATTATACTTACTCCTCTAACTCTTACTTTCCTTGTTGGTAAAATGAGGAGTAACCTAGATGAACTCAAATGTCATTCTACCTATAAAATTTAAACATCTTACATTGTCTGATGGAGTGGTTATGCAGATTTTTATTAAGATTTGCTTTTCCATTGCTCTTGCCCCGTCTCCACTGCCTTAACACTTAAAATTTTAAAAGTTAAATACAATGGGATTCTCAAGTTCCAGGCTTATGAAAGAAGTAGAGATGGGTTAAACTAAGTAAGCTACTTCCTCTATTTTCTATTAACTCCCACTCCTCTTTTGATTCTTTATCAAGTAATACTGTATCTAAAACAACTAAATTCTCAAACTGCCTATACCTAATAAAATGATAAACTTTAAAATACATAACTGAGATTTTGTTGTAATTCACAGGAAATTCTTTACCTTCATCAACAGAATCTGAAGTGCTGCTTTTGTCCAGAGAAAGATATTCATTTTTATTCAAATCCAGTGATTTTGGTACCACTCTATTTAACCTCATTTCTGAAGTTAGGAAAGGACACTTTTTGCTAAGTTTCTCACTTTGGGGTTCATCTTTCCCAAATCCCTAAAAGGCAAAGAAAAAAAAAGTCTAGTTTAAAAAACAGACTATAGGCTTACAATTTACAGTGAGATCTTTAATAATAAAGATGCTTTGAAATGCTGTTCTTTGAAAATGTGACATCTGTATCACAAGGAATTCAATTCAGTCTATAAAATACTGATAAAGAATATAGAACATCTAAGATCACCTTCTACACAATAATAATGAATAACAAGTTTACTTTTTAAGATGCCATATAGAAAGAACTCAGGCATTACCATCATGTGAATCATTTACACAGAAGGGAAAAGGGATAGAGGGCAAAAATAATGGAACTCTCAGTTCTTTGTGGTGGACAAGAGAAAAGAGTCAAGGCAGTTAGTTTCCCAAGACAATACCTTCCCATCATCTCAAGGAAAAGAACTCACCCATCTTTCAAGACCAGTAACTAAAGGGGAAAAGGAAAGAAAAATAGACAAAAGTCACATATAAGAAGAGTGAGAGAGAAGATTAAAAGGGAAAATCAATTATATGGTAACTTGTAAGAACACTAAGATACTGTTAAAGGAAGTAAGAAATTGGGCATTAAAATGTATTCAATATATGATGTCATTGATACTTCTGGGGAACGGTTTACTTACTAATGATAACTTATTTCTACAACTATTTTAACACTAGGCATTAAGAGTAAGAATGCTATTTCTAAGTTAATAATTCAGGTAGAATAGTAGTGTAACATAACACTATGTACATAACATAAAAAATATAAACTATAAGGCAAGGTACCTCTGGCATTGTCTGTGTGTAAGCACATGAAAGAGCAAAGAATAAAGCTTACACATCCTGCCCCTGAGACCTCTGTGCAGCACTGAACAACAGAAGCAGTTCCTGGGAGGATACACGTTTCCATTGGCCACTCAGAAAGCAGATAACAAATGAGACCCAGTACGTAGTTTATTAAAGGGTTATACTCTCCTCATTAGAGGACTGATTCTTCATGCAGAAACTGCTGCTACAATCGAGACTTGATGGGAGGTCTAGATTACAAAACAACATCTTATTTAGCTGACTCAGCATCTGCTAATGCTGAGTAAACTTTCACACATGCTGTTTGTGTGTTTCTAATGAAGGTATAACTCCTACTATGAAGCTATAGGAACAGTCATTACCTTTGAGGGGGTGGCATTTGACAATTTTTATTTCTTTGTGTACTTTCTGTATTTCCCGATTCTTTATAATGAATACTAATTTCATAACCTAAAAAAATTATCATCTTCAAAAAACGTTTTTTCTGAATTTTAACTATTTCTAATTTTGTTAGAAGTTGAAACAAAGTAACATAAGACATTTGTTTACATCTGAAAATGTCAGCACATCTTCATAACAAAAGGGGAAAAAAGGACTAAATTTCTATATTGCTTGTATTTTATAACACAAAGACATGTGTACGAACATCAATGAGTTTTATCACATTAAATCATTCCTCTATATTCCATTCCCTTTATTCAGAGAAAATGTGATCTTTAGGGGCAAAGTAAGAAGCAAGGACCATCAGATTAACTACTACAAGAGCAGGTACAAAATATCAATCCATCTTTAAGGTCGTTGTAATAAATACTCAGATTAGTAGTACTGAGAACTCAATCAGACTTTTGCAAAAAGATAAGGAAACTGCAAGCAATTCCCAGCCTTATTACCTTTCCAAAATATGGTTCTATCTCCTCAGTGAGAACTTAAAAAATATATGTATATAACATCTAGAATCACCTCTTTTGCACCTGTAGTACATTCCTACATGTCTCTAAGTTTTATGAGAAAAGCACAACAGAATCAAAGTGCAGGATGCATGATGGTTACTAAAACAAGCTGATAAGGTGGCGGCCTTCCACATAAATATTTCACTATTTCCATCCCAGTGTGGAGGTTCAAGTTGCTCCAAGAAAAGGGACAGAAAAGGTTTGCTGTTGGTCACACACAGACTCACTTTCAATTAGAATAGCTATGGTTATCTGGCCTCCCTGGTGGCAAATGGGTTAGTGACACAGTGCTATCAAGCTATGGCCAGCCGCTGCTGCAGGAGTTCAGTTCCATCCCCACCAGGGAGGTGACCCACATGGTGCAGCAGACCTCTCCTGTCTTGCGTGCTGCTCCCCTCAGCAGTGTATTTCAGTTGATTTGCCTGTTTGCTCCCCACTCTATCTCTGGTGAATCCTCTCGCCCTTACACCCTGGGCCTACACCACTTTTCTTGCAAGCATAAATAAATAAACCTTTTTAAAAATAATAGCTTGTTTATAGCACACTTAATGTATGGCAGGGACTGCCCAAACTACTTTCATACTTCATTCACTCAGGGCTTACTAAATATCCTGTGCAGTATTATTGTTCTTGTCTTATAGTAGGGAAAACAAAGCCCCAAACTTGCATCCTCAATCATCAGACCAAACACTTTGCAGCAGGAGCACTCATAGCCCTCAGAATAAGGTCTCTATATACCACTCCTCACAAAGAACAAGAGCTCACTAGGAAAATGTCTGAGACAAAAAGTATACAACATGTGCCTTATACATATTGTTGTATCAGAAAAAAAGGAAACTATCAAAGATTATTCACTTTTTCAAAAGGACAAAGTAGCCAACCTAAAGAAGCTCCTGATGATAGAAAGGATAAAACTGAGAATTAAAAAACATATATATGACTTCGAGTGACAGAAAACTCATTGACATAAAAATAACTAATGGGCTGATAATGATAATTGAAAAAAATAAAGGAAGAAATTAGTACCTAAGTCAATCTGAGGCCTAGTAATTAACAGGATGTGCTTATTTTAGTAGGCAGTTTTAAAAAATCATCTTTGTTAGTCAAGCATACTAAGTAGGATTCTCATGTTTCCCCCTTGAAAAGAGATTCTTTCTACCAAATATATCACTTATTCTGGAAAATTTTTCTTGCTGTGAATTATTCCTTGTATATTATTATATATATATTTTTTAAGATTTATTTATTTGTGCATACAGAACTGGGGTACAGGCCAGAGGTGCAGGGGTAGTGAGAGTATTCACCAGATACAGAGTGGCGAGCAGAACAGGCAGATCGATGAAGTACACTGCTGAGGGGAGCAGCAGGCGGGTCAGGAGAGGTCTGCTGTGCCATGTGGTCACCTCTGGGCGGACGGGGTTCGAACTCATGCTGAAGTGGCTTTAGCTTCTCAGTGCTGTGCTTTAACCAGCTGCACTACCAGGACAGGCCATATCTTATTATATTTTTAATGATGTCTATGTCCTTTATAAATTGATGCTCAGGAAAATGTCTCACAGCACTGAATCATATCTAACTACAGAACCTCTTTTACTTACAGGCAAAAACTTCTCCTAAAATAATGGAGCAACCTAAAACATTTTATGATTTTTTTTAATTTATTTATTTATTCATACAGAACTGGGGTACAGGCCAGAGGCTCAGGGGCGGTGAGAGGCTTCACCAGAGACAGAGCGGGGAACAGAACAGGCAGATCGATGAAGTACACTGCTGAGGGGAGCAGCGGGCAGGTCAGGAGAGGTCTGCCACGCCATGTGGTCACCTCCGGGGCAGGCGGGAATCGAACTCATGCTGAAGTGACTTTAGCTTCTCAGTGCTGTGCTTTAACCCGCTGCACCACCAGGGAGGGCCAAACATTTTATGATTTTTAAACATTATTTATATTATATTTTATTTGATCTTATAGTATTCTTAATACATGCTAGCATCAGATATGTCTTAAGGGGTACCAAACACTAACCACCTTTGGTGAATGTCCATCCAGGGACTCTGGTTCTGAAACCCGACTAATTGATTCACGGGTAAAACTGATTGACTTGGATAATTTTTCATCTCTCTCTCCTGAGTCGTCCAAGCTGTTTCTTCCTGGACTTCTGTAAGAAACATGTTGTTATAGAAATACAAATAAGGTGCCTTCCACACATATAATTGATTTGGTATTCTTACTATGGGCTTTTCATTACAAAACAGTCTAAAAACAAATGGATATTTGTAATATTACCAAATAAACCTCTACCTATAACATGGCTAACTAACTAACATGCAAATTGACTATTTCTGAAAATGAGATGTGTTCATATGAGGTTTTATAAATTTCAAAACCATTAAAAAATTAACCAAAAATACATGGCTATACCAGCAACTGGATATTGCCCATTTAAATTGCAGTTATATTAAAGAGTAAACAAAACAAAATAACTTAAGTACACTCTTATTAAGTTATAAGAATAAAGTGGTCACTATCAGAGGAAAAAGAAAGAATGGAGTAGATAAATTGAGGAAAACAGAACAATTATATGGTGATGGGTAGAACTAGAATTTTGGTGGAAATCAGAATGTATTACATATAGATGTTGAATTATAATGCTATAATACATCTGAAAATGATATAATGTTTTAAAACAATATTCAGTAATTTCTTTAATTAAAAGGTAAAATAAAATTAAGAACAAAAAACTATTATTTGCCTGACTACTCCCACTGGACTAACTGCATGTAAGCATTTTAGCATATAAGTTACTGATTCAAAGGACAAGTGGACTTATAAGAGAGTAAAACTTAAAATTTAAAATGAATAAAGATCATTGTTTTAGTGTGTAAATATCCACTTTGAAGTCTTAGAATATGTCGATGGTGGAAAATTGGAAATCACTGTACACAATGAGATCTATAAAGAATTTTGGGAAATAACTACCTAAATTTTTAAAACAATTTTTTAAAAAATTTTAAGCTCTACTGTTTGTATAAATTTGATTTAGTGAGTTTTAACCTTGAGAAATAAATATTTCATTTCTGTAACAAATAATTTTAATTAAATAAATTTCGATGCAGGCAACCTGAGATGACGGATAGTTCCCAGAAGTAGAAATCATGTCTAAGTAAAATCCATGCTCCCTTCCTTGTGCCTCTCTTTCTTAAGAACAAGGTTTAAGGAACAGCTTTCAAATGTTCACAAGGACAAGACAACAGTAAAGGCGCTAGGAGCTCTTGTCTTCTCTCAGGGAGTAAGAAGGGAAAGTCTATTCATTCTAAAAGAAGCACAACTGATTTATTTTTCAGGGTTCAACCTTACTGAGAAATTATGATTCCTATATAATCATTAATAACTACAGGTTGAAATCTCTTCTAAAATAGAGTAGCAGCCCAACATGTTAGGCCATTTATCCTGAGGAATGAAGTGAAAAGCTAAAGGGTCATTCAACCCCATTCTACTCCACCCAAATAATACATAGGTCCATGGAAAGGCTCCTTGAGACCAGCCAAACAGCTCAATGTCTATACTTGAGGATTTTTAGGAAGGAGATGAGTTGGGGAGAAATAAAGGAAAAAGGAGGAGGAAGTGTGGCACGGAGACTTAAAGGAAGAAACAAAGACAGAAGTGCTAAAGAAATCAAGATTTGAGACAGACAATGCTTCTTTCAGAAACTTAAAGAATGGGTCAAAGGCTCTCTACCATAATCCAAGTCTTTGCATTTTATCAACTGCCTTTCTACTCAGTTCCAGTACCTGAGAGAGGCTGGTAAACTTTACAAGGAGAGAAGTCCTGTGGAAATGTTTTAACTTTACAGCAAACTAATGAAATATGCATGTGTAACCAAGTGAAAAGCAGAGACTATAAAATATTGATGCAAACTGAAACAATGTAAGTAGGGTCAGCCAAAGTAGAAGACTTTCTAGATAGAGTAAAATTTTTGTACCCCCCCTCCACTGAGACTTTTGAAAGTTTTCCATTTTAAGATTTGTTATAAAATTTTTAAATAAGAATTTTATTAAGATATAATTCACAGAACATAAAATTACCTTATTTAAAGAGTACAAAATAGCATTTTACAGAGTTGGCAGCCATCACCAATAATTTTAGGACATTTTCATTACTCCCAAAAGTGACCTATTAGCACTCACTCCCCATTCTCCCTTCCTCCTATCTTTCTGTTCCTATGGGCTTACTGATTCTAGACTCTGCTTTAAGTATATAAAATTATACAATATGTGTTCTTTAGTCACTGACTTCTTTCATTTAGCATGCTTGCTACATAATATTAATATACTAATCTTCCTTGTCAGTTACCAATGGAGGAAACACATTTTTACTTATACAGATTAATAAAAATGTGCCCGCTTCCAAATGAATTCCCATGAGTCAAAGAGTCAAAACTCTTTCTACTTTGAAATTTTTTTATCACATTCATATCTATTGCTCCCTTTGGAGCAATTATTTGCATTCCCCACAGTAATATAAGCTTCTTTCATTAATGTACCTGATATTTATTGACTACAGGTCGAACACTGCTAGAATAACCTTGAGAAAAAGTCATTGCCTTCTGTCTCTCAAACTATCTACCAATTTACTTTTGCTGAATCATCTATATGAACAACAGAGATTTCATTAGAAATCTCCAGTTCCTTAACTTAAAAGTTTGCTAAAACCACACTCTAAACAATCTTAAGTGACAAAGTCTACACCTTACTATATGTCCTGTATTTTATTACCAATTCAGCAAACTCTTCTCTATCCTAACCTTGCACTCTATTCCACCATAAACAAAAAGGGGTAAATTTCACACAAGGGTTAATTAATAGAAATTCTGAATTAGTAGAATTTAAGCTAATTCCTTGATTAATATCAAATTGAGTATCATATTTCACAACATTCTGTTGTACCTGGGCTGCACATTATCCTCAATTGACAAGGATAAGTTCTCCATTTCTTCAGCGTTTAAGCCAAGCTCAGTGCCATAGTTCTGCTGCAGCAGTTGCACAAATTCTTGTCTGGTCAAGTTCTAAAAGTAGTACGGAACAATTACATTGAGTATTAGCAAATATAAAATAGTACAAATTAGCAGTTCAAAACATATTTTGACATTAAAATGGCTTACTGTGCAGCTATGAGAAGTGACTTTGGTAGCTTTCTGACCTTTCCTGGCCTTTTTTTGGTGTGTTTTAAAAAACTGGGTTAATAAAACTTACCTGACATAGTTGACACTAGCACTAAATAAAATATGACTTTAAAGTATATAGTATATTTTAACTATTTTAAATGGGAGGTAAATATTTATATTTTTCTTTTCATGAAATAATTTGTTTATAGTGTCTAGAAATTTCTGATATGTAACTTAAATCCTGCAATCCAACCAGTCTATCACAAATCACCATTCGGAGTTCTTATCACCAATTCAGAAAACATCATGATAATCCACAGAGTATCTGATTATTTTAACCATTTTAAACCCTTATATGTCAACTAACTATAAATATATTTTTCTAAAATATAAAATGCAAGAGACTAAAATTCATAATATCTTCTTTGATTCACTTTTAATAAAGGCCAGCTATTTTGTCTTTGTAGGTATCATATCAAGTGTTAAAAAAATCTAATATGAAAAACATGTGGAATAATTAGTAAGACAAAAATAATAGTGATATTATGATATCCAGTGGTCTATTTTCTAGAAAAAATATAGATGGCTAATTACATAAATAAGCAAGGCAGAGGAAGGCAGCATAACACTTGTAGTAGCAATTTTTGGGAAGGTCCTCTTATTCATTCAACAAATAATGATTTAGAGCCTACCAAATTTGTATGAATGCATTAAATGCTAATGAGGGTAAAAATGATAACCCATCTAGCTCCTTGCTCTCAAACAACTATAGTTTAAGAAACATGGAAGACTTTTAGGGAATGTCTGATATAACAAGCTATGCTATTATTATTATTATGTATTAAAGTACTGGTAGAATCAACATGATAGAAAAGTATAAGGAAAGAGTACTGTGGATTAGGTTGATCAAATAAGGCTTCACTGACAACATTCAGCTGAACTGAAGGAAGGACATGAATGGAGAAATGAGAAAATACTGGGAGAAAGAAATTAACATAAAAACACAATAAATACATGAAGAACATACATAAATGATACCTGTTTTTTGGTTGTTTTTTTTTAAGTCAGTGAATAGTTTGTCAGTCTAATCGGAGTAAATACTTAGTTTGGGACTATAGTTGGGATTAATATAGAAGGATTTAAAAGAGCTAAAACATTCAGATGCCTTGAATTCCTCCCCAGAATTCCCTACAACAAATACCTCTTCATTTTTGCCTTTTCCTTGGTTCTTCCCTCTGTCTAGTAGCTATGGTAGCTTTGTTTATTACATTGCACTAGATAAGTTCATAATATTTCATGGATCCTCAAAGAGATTAAAAGCAAAAATTTCTGTATTTCAGATTGCTAGTTTCCAAATTACTGGATTACCAGGATCCCACAGGAGTAACTGAAGAAAAGTCAGATTCTATCATTAGATTTTAACAAATCAAAAATATCCAAACAGTTACCCATAATAAAACTATTCAAGCTAAGGAAAATGTCTGATTTCCCTGTTTGGAGTTTAATTATATTAACCTAGAATACAGTGAATGACATTAACCTCAACCTGAAAAGAAACTTTCATTGAAAATAACATCTATCTAATAAATAATAATATTCTTGGAGCTTATTGTTTACTGTACACCTCTTATTTAGAGAACAAAGTCTTCTTAAGCATAGTATCCATAAAGAAAAATAAAAAGTATCCCTAGTAGTTAAGAATTAAGTGACCAACCAGCACTGTTCCTGATCCTAAAATATACACCACAATAGTAATTAGTTATAATAATGAACACAATCTTCCAAAGGCTTTATCTTTGAAATACACTGTGCTACCCTTGGAAAGAGAAGCAAACAATATTTTTTAAAAGTTGTGGAAGATTAATATTTTATAAAAACATCTTTAAAATAATAGATAATCAAACTGCCCCCAAAATAGATTAGAGCAATAATACTCTGCTGCCTAATACTGCAAGGAATGAAAATAAGCAAATACAGTTGTATCTACATATAGAAATAAGTATTTAAAATAGATTAGCATATACTAGCAGGAAGTAAATTGCAGGGTAACTTCAATATACTTTTTTATCTATTAAGTATACATAGTTAATGGAAAATAAAATAGAACTCATTTAATTCATAATCTTATTGTGCTAATTGGTTAAAAACAACTTCTACAAAGTTGCTCAGCTATCACAAGAAGTGTGGTTACTTACAGCCATGCTGAACATTCAGACATTCAAACATACACCCAAGGTGATAGTCACAATTCATACATCAGCCACGGAAAGGATTAAGTGACCTTAAAGAGCAACCTAAATTTTGAACAAAAGCTGACCACCTACCTGCTAAAAAGGGAGTCTCCAAGTTTCAGCCTACAGAGTACTTTAACAAAATAAAGATGAACCAAATAGCAATCAGATAAGACTCAAAAGTCAGAAGATCATTTTCTGGCCCAGAAAGCTTTGTGTGCTAGTATGCTACAACATCCTTATTCGTAATATCACTCCAAATGCTGAATGACAGCTGTGAAAAATCATTGTTCCAATCTACTGATTTTTTTCAGAAGAAGTTCTTCCTTATAAAAGACAAGTTCTATTGTAGTTTAGAGCACATGTTTTGTCACTTCCTGGTCTGTAGTATCAGCACCTTTCCACCGTTGCAGGTCAGAAAGCAGAATTGTAAGTTATACCTCACTCTACAGGTTCCTAGGCCCCTCCTACTAGAAGAGGTTAGGTAAACAGGGTTTTATTAAAGTGACAGTCTGCAATTTCTTCTGTTCTACCCACAATAAAATACAAACGGAAATATCTTGCTTATGCTCAATTATGTAATGCCTATTGCAATATTATTTTAATCTCATTTAAAATACTAGATATATTAAGGGTTAAATTTTCTTCGCCATGTCAAATTTCTCATTTAATTCTGGCAATGTCACTTTACTTCTTCATATGCTACTTCTGATGGAGAAATAGCTTCTCCATCTGACTCCTGTATTAATCCTTTATAATTATCAAAGATTTTGTTTCTTGAATATTGTTAAATGGAGTGTCATAAATAGCAAGAAGACTGAAATTTTCAGATGAAGCAATTCCAATAAACACTCTGTATATCTTTCATCATTGAAAAGTTTGTATCTTGATTACTCAATAAATGTTTCCTTTAAAAATATTTTTGACCCTAATTAGAGTAATTTCCTGGTGGAGACCTAAACTGTAATAAACACAACAGAGAGTCTCATCTACAAATTTCAACTCTTCCCCAAAAGAAATGTTTTCTCCTAATGAGAATATCAAAACTTGCCCTAGTTCCTATCTAATCAATCCATTTAATTTAGTAAGGTGCTATCACACGTTACTTGATGAACTGTAAGGGTCTTTGGGGGGAGGGTTGCTAAAAGCTTATCACTGTATACAATAGCAGACTGAAGGATCAAAGTGACATTGGAGGGCCCTTCTGGTGGCGCAACAGGTTAAAGGGCAGCACTACAAACTAGCCACATACGTTTTTGTACTAGTTCAATTTCCCTCCTGGGGTGGGGACGTCGCCCACATGGTGCAGCAGACCTCTTCTGTCTCACCCACTGCTCCCCTCAACAGTGTACTTCATCCATCTGCCTGTTCTGCTCCCCACTCTGGTCTCTGGTGAAGCCTCTCACCACCCCTGTACTACTGACCTGTACCCCAGATCTGTATGCATAAATAAACAAATAAATTTTAAAAATTACACTGGAGAAAAACACTCATTCAAATTGAAGGAAGTACACCATGGTGGCCAGTTTCCACTTTCTAAAACCTAGAGTTTTTGACATATTATGGTATGGTCGTTCTCACAGATTAAAACTGCAGATATCACTTATTCTACTATGATAACCAATGAACAATAAGAAAAATGTATATTAGCTATAATATTCTAAATGATATTTATATACTATTGCTAAATATACAAATTCTTATAGTAAGACACTAGTATGCAGAGCAGAGCAAAGTTTAGTAGACTGAAGAAAGAAAACAGAAACAAACTACAACTGAAAAAAGCCTGGTATGCAAAGGTTAATAGACAAGGAATGGTCAGCAAAAAAAGACTGAGGGAAATAACAGAGAAATGTTCAGAAAGAATGATGTCATGGAAATAAAGGGAAGGTATTTCAAGATAGAGGGAGTGTGTGTAATATGAAATGTTGCCTAAGTACCAAGCAAGATGAGCACATTTGTGGCAAATAGGAGCACACAGAAAAGTGAAGCAATCTACCAAGCAGTTCACTGAGACTACTATGGGGGATGGAGAAATTAAAGGGGCCCATGGGAAAGAACAAGGAAAGAGTCAGTGGGTAAGAGCCTCCCTGGTGGCACCAGGGTTAAAATCTCAGGGCTATCAAGCTATTGATTGCCACTTCAGGGGCAGGAGTTTGATCTGGCCAGCGAGCTGACCCACATGGCACAGCAGACCTCTCCTGTATCACGTACTGCTTCCCTCAGCAGTGTGTTTCAGTCAATATTAGCAGTGGATTTTACACATTTAGGAGCCACGATGAAGAAAACAGTATGAGATTAAATCAAGTACATGAGAAAATGATGCTATCAAGAGATAGATTATACACACGGAACACTAAAATCTTATGATGGTTAGGGCATCCAGCAATAAGAATTTGGGGACCACCTTTGTATATGTAATCCTTCATTTACCAAACTATTGGTATGTTTGCACGACTGTATCATAACGGGTCAAAGTAGAAATGATGAGGGCCTTTGTGACCAACACGATATGGTTGCCACTGAAGAGGAAAGAAGCAAGCATACATCAAGTTTCTTTGCTCAGGTGACAGACCAGGAGGAATCATGCTTCACTGACCAAGGGAAAATAGATGGAGGTGTTTTGTCAACCAAAAAGATAAAAACAAAGGAACAATACAAGAATAAAAG